AGGGATCCCAAAGCCCTTGCTTTATCTCACCATCCAGCAAGGCTCAACCAAACCTGGACTCAAAAGACAGACAGCCTACAAAGTTAGCTAAGACACACACACACCCCGCCCCGGGAGTCAAAACAGCCAATGGACAGCCATTTCTTGGACAGGAACAGGAAACTCCAAGACGGGGCCCCAGAGAGGGCATAAAACCAGGGCACTCTCAGCATCTCTTCCCTTTTTGTCTTCAAAATCCTCAAGGGACGTGAGCCTTTCCCCCCTCCCCACCCCCAGCATCTCAGACCATGTGGTCCTGTTCCACCATTAAACCATCTTTCCAAGCAGTCTCCATGTTTCTAGTGTCCTTTTCCCCACTTGGAACTGAACCTAGATGGACAGGATCAACAGGAGAAGAGAGGGAGTGAGAGAGGAAGGAAAGAGAAAGAAAAAAAAAGAAAGAGAAAGAGAAAGAAAGAGATAAAGAAGAAAGAAAGAAAGAAAAAAGAAAGAAAGAAAGAAAGAAAGAAAGAAAGAAAGAAAGAAAGAAAGAAAGAAAAAGAAAGGAAGGCTAAGATTTGAAGCTGCAGCATAGCAATGTCTCCACAACGGAAAGAGGTCATACCTTATTTCCTAACACTAAAGCAAAGAGTGTCCTTGTGAGTAGCAACGGACAAGTCTAAGAAACAAGTTTTGGCTTGTTCTGCATTCACCTCCTCCTACCCAACCTTAATCAACACACTGAAAGGCATCGCACGTGGTTAAACCATCACCCAGCCTTTTTATTGGTTTTGAGGAGAAAAGGAAGGATCCCTGTTTCATAAAGACAACACAATCAAAGACACAAAAGTCTCAGACCCCGTGTGTGTTCTTCATACTCCTCTGATTTCATTAGGGTTGGTTTCCTTTACCCTCCTTAGGATCAAATATTTGGGCAGTGCAGATGGTTATGTAAACAGGGGGTATCCCAACCATACCAACAATCTAATTCTTAATAATTTAACTGCTCCTGCACAGCTTCACAGTTTCACTGTCTTCTCCGTCATACAAAAGTCAGGAACGAATGGCTTGTAATCGAGTCTTGGTTCCAGGCTACGCGTTTTTATTTTATTCTCCCTTTCAACAGCTGCGTGTTCTCTTCTTTCACAGGCAACTTGGGGAGGAAAAAATATATCATAACGCCGAAAGAAATGTAAGCAACTGAAATGTACAGGAGAGATAAGACTCTGCCAATGGTTGTGTGCTCAGCTAACTGCTGAAAATCGGTCCACAATTGGGGGAGGGGGGGAATCAATTAGGGGAGAGGTCTAGAAGAGGCTCAGTGTCCTTTTTTTTGTTCACGGGGTCCAGGAGAACGGTGGCGCCCTGAAATGTCTTGCCCGGGTTTCATTTAGATCTGAAACTCTGCAAAGCCTCGGCTTGTAGGATAGAAGGTAGAACTTCAAGGTGTACAAATAAACTTTTGCCCAAGATGCTCTTCGCGATTTGGGATGAAGGTTTCAAACGTCCCTCGTTGCTGCAAACCGAGTTCATGCCTTTTCGATGTGCAGGTCGCCGACCCCGTTGGTGTTGCTGGTGGCCGTAATGATGTATTGTGTCGTTTGCTGCTCGCTGGCCGTTTGCGAGTCCAAAGAGTCGGCGTGGACGGGTGTCTGAGACAAATCGACTTCCACGCCACTGGAAAGAGACAGGCTTGGCTTGACTTCCAGTTCGGGCTGACTTTCAGCAATGACATAATGCGTCTAGAGGAGGGGGAAAAAGAAACCCACATAAATTCACTCTCGTTATACAAACGTATAGGACGTGGTGGCTCAGTGGCTAAGCTTGTCGATTAGAAAGTTCGGCGGTTCGAATCCCTAGTGCCGCGTAATGGAGTGAGCTCCCGTTATTTGTCCCAAGCTTCTGCCAACCTAGCAGTTCGAAAGCACGTAAAAATGCAAGTAGAAAAATAGGAACCACCTTTGGTGGGAAGGGAACAGTGTTCTGTGCGCCTTCGACGTTTAGTTGTGCTGGCCAGATGACCACGGAGACATCTTTGGAGAGCGCTGGCTTTTTGGCTTTGAAACGGAGATGAGCACCGCCCCCTAGAGTTGGGAACGGCTAGGACATATGTGCGAGGGGAATCTTTACCTTTATACATAAGCATTTCCTTTTTTTAAAAGCCTTCAATTAGTACAGGTAATCAATCCTTTACTTACAGCCATTCATTTGGTGACAATTCAAAGTTGAACAACAGCACTGAAAAAAGTGAGTTATGACTGTTTTTCACACTTATGACTATTGCAGCATGTGATAAAAATTCAGACACTTGGCAACTGACTCGTATTTACGACAGTTGCAATGTCACAGGTTCATGTGATTCCCTTTTACGACCTTCTGACAAGCCAAGTCAATCAGAAAGCCATGTTATTAACTTAATAACCGTGTTATTAACTTAATAACTGCATTGATTCACTTAGCAACTGCGGCAAGAGAGGTGGTGAAATGGGACAAAATTCACTTAACAATTATTCTCGCTTAGCAGCAGAACTTTTGGGCTCAATTACGGTTGTAAGTCAAGGCTATCCTGTATGCCATAATAATGAAAATGCTCATTTATCAATTATTGCTCCAAATAATTCAATAAAGCAGGCGCTTTGAAATAAATTATTTGACCAACCCTGATTTAGAACAGAAGACACATTTCCAATGTTTTATTTTATTTCTTAAATGTATGTGCCACTCTCCGCAATTCTGGGCAGCTTGAAAATACTCTTATGCCGATTTCCAAACCATAGGTAAAGGTTCCCCTCATGCATATGTGCTAGAGGTTCCCAACACTAGGGGGTGGTGCTCATCTCCGTTTCAAAGCTGAAGAGCCAGCACTGTCCGAAGACATCTCGGTGGTCATGTGGCCGGCATGACTAAACGCCGAAGGTCCACGGAATGCTGTTACCTTCCCACCAAAGGTGGTTCCTATTTTTCTACTTGCATTTTTTACGTGCTATCGAACTGCTAGGTTGGCAGAGGCTGAGACAAGTAACAGGAGCTCACTCCGTTATGCGGCGCTAGGGATTCAACCCCCCTGAACTGTCAACCTTTCTGATCGACGAGCTCAGCATCTTAGCCGCTGAGCCACCGCATCCCTTTCTTTCCAAACTATTCGTATTCAAAAGCCTTGGCATATTTAATCATCTCAGTCACGGCTGCCCTTTTGCTTCTTACCTGCGAAACTGCTTTGACTTGTCCTGTAGTCACCGTTGTGACAGGAGGACCCACAGCTGCCTCTGCAATCACATACTGGCCCTGGGGGATAGTCATCATCTGAATCTCGGAGGCTGGAGTGGGGGAAAGATGAGAGAATCCCATTCATTATCTCTAACAAGAGATGATTGACATGCTAGGGGTGTCCAACCTTGGCAACTTTAAGACCTGTCGACTTCAACTCCCAGAATAGAGAGTTGAATAGGGTCAGCATGTGTATTTGCGTAATTAAACGCAAAATTTCCCCAGTGATCCTCCTCCTCCCCTTTTAATGACCCCATAATCCCTTGCAGGGTGAAGTCTGTGCAACTGAACGGAACTGAGCGTTTACTGGCCGGATGCCGTTCATGTCACCAATGCGGAGTTTTATTCAGCAGATATATTCTCATTGTGCCGAGAGAGAAAAATATCTGCCTCTCTAGGTTCGAATTCACAACCTCCTGATTGTGAGGCGTAAGCTCCACCTCTAGGCTACACTGTGCCACTCCGAAATTGCCCCATGGATCAGAGGAGTGAATATGCGAGGTGGGTAGAGCCCAAAGCTGGAAAAAGGAAATCTTGCCTCAAAATATCAAGGAACTTGAGAGGTTTCGTTTCTCTTCGGATGTCTTCAACAATACTTCAATCAAATCATAGCTCAGAAATTGGGAATGAGCGGTGGTGAAATTCAAACTTTTTTGTGGGCGTGGCTTGGTGGGTGTGGTGTGGCTTGGTGGGCGTGGCTTGGTGGGCATGGCAGGGGAGGGATACTGCAAAATCTCCATTCCCACCTCACTCTGGGGCCAGCCAGAACTGCTAGGTTGGCAGAAGCTGGGACAAGTAACGGGAGCTCACTCCGTTATGAGGTGCTAGGGATTCAACCCCCCTGAACTGCCGACCTTTCTGATCGGCAAGATCAGCATCTTAGCCACTGAACCACTGGCATTTGGCAGTTCTCCAAACTACTTAAAACTTCCACTGCCAGTTCTCTCCAAACTACTGAAAATTTCTGCTACCGGTTCTCCAGAACCTGTCAGAACCTGTTGGGTTTCACCCCTGGGAATGAGGGTGTTAAGTGGTTTATACAGAGAGGCAAAAGAACGTCACTAAGCATATTTGATACGTACGATAAGTGCGGAACGAGTTCCAGGTGTTGGGAAGGTAGGCTTGCTGGACTGAAGAACCTGCCTGTGATTGACTTTGCCCAGAGGAAGTTGTCTGTATCTGGGATGGGCTGAGCTCCTGCTGAGTTGGTTGGGAAGGACTTAAGGGCTGGCTGCCCACCTGGAGTAACAAAGGAAAAGGCATTCCAGGAACCGAAGAACTGAACTTACTTGTTACTGGTCTAAAATTCCCATCTCTCACTCGTACACACAGAGCATTTCGATCAATAACCAAGAATGGCCCAATTCACTCATTTACAGCATTTCATTTCATGCTCTTCAGTTGAAAAGGGTGATTGGAAAATAAAACTACAAAGCCCAAAGCAAGCATTTCATTTCTAATCAAGATAACTTCAAGTGATCAAAGCCAGTGCATGGAAGAACATCCAAATAGTTGGCTAGAGTATTTCTAAATAAGCGGTTTAGATCCTGGCTGGCGGGAGGCGCACGCACAGTGGAGCTGAGTTGGGCGATGGCTTGCATGCCCGCAGAGAGGGCTCCGCGTGCCACATGTGGCACCTGTGCCACAGGTTCGCCATCACGCCTACCCAGTCACATGATTGCCAGGCCACTCCCACCCAGTTACATGGCCGGCAAGCCACTCCCACAAAGCAGGCCACACCTACAGAAGAGGTTCTAAAAAATTTTGAAACCCACCACTGCGTTGCACGCATGTGCAGGGGTGGGGGCTGCACACATACACAGGGTGGCGGGGCACGTTGCATTATGGGTGTGGGCACGTGCGTGCCACCACGCGAGCACGATTTTGACACGCAAGGACAAAATGGTTAGACCTCACTGACCTAGGGTCAAGGTTCTGCATTTTATCGAAATGTAAAAATAACATTTTAATGTTATGGTGGCACAGTGGTTAGAATGTCGTATTGCAGGCTATTTCTGCCGACTGCCAGCAGTTCGATCCTGACCAGCTCAAGGTTGACTCAGCCATCCATCCTTCTGAGATTGGTAAAATGAGGACCCAGACAGTGCTGACTCTGTAAACTCCTCAGAGAGGGCTGTAAAGCACTAAATGTTATTGCCATTGCTATCTCCAAAATAAAATTCTGTGCGCAGGACTTTGGGCTATTCCACTGGTAGCAATAACACTTAGACTTATATACTGCTTCACGGTGCTTTACGGTCCTCTCTTAAGTGGTTTACCTTTAAGGAACCATCTTATTTGCTACCTGAAGCTGTCCATGCATCTTAGAAGAGCATGCACGTATTATAAAACAACTGCATGGCCTACCTGTGAAGACGATGGGGCTGCAGAGGTTGGTTCAGTGACCTGGATATGCTGTACCTGGATAGCATGCTGGGTGTATGACTGAGGGTCATGTAGTTGGCCAACATCTACAGTGGAATGTTGGGTCTGATGAGGTGAGGTAGCCTAGGGATCAGGAGGAAACATGTTATGTCCAAGTTGACTTTAGAATTGCGGTCTCAGTGGTACAAGTCTTAAAAGTCAACCAGTATAGTTCTTTCTGCAAAAGTTCAGTTCTTTTGGGATGAATTGCCCAGAAGATCAAGAAGAAGCAGTTTTTTGTGCCCAACATCTGCTTTCCAGGTGTAACCCACATGACAGAGGATAAACCATCACTCAATGGCAGGGAACAGTTTTATATTCTCAAAGGCTTGGCTTCCACTTTTGGTATCTCTTCTAAGAAGCATGGCACAGCATATAGGAGAACAAACACATCTGGACAAGATTCAGCAGTCCATCTGCATGTAAAATACAAAGTCCACTCTTTTGAAGACAGTGAAGTCCACATTTTGGACAGAGGGAACCGCTGGTTTGAAAGACGGTTCAAAGAAGCCATCTGTGTCAAAATTAAACAGTCCTCTCTCACCAGAGGTGGAGGGATACGATATCATACCTACGGCCGGTGAGATCCCACAGATTGGGCCTCCTTCAGATGCCGTCAGACAGACAATGTCGGCTGGCGGCTCCCCGGAGGAGAGCCTTCTCTTTGGCTGCTCCGACCCTTTGGAACGAGCTACCCCCAGAAATCCGGACCTTGCCCACTCTCATGGCCTTCAGAAAAGCTGTTAAAACCTGGCTATTCTGGCAGGCCTGGGGCTGTTGACCTCATTGTTGAGGCCCAGCCCCGATCACAACGAATGTATGTGTGTTGTTTTTAATATGTTTTTATTGTCATTTTTTATTATTCTTTTTCTTTTGTTGTAAGCCGCCCGGAGTCCTCCGGGATTGG